TACACTAAGAAATAAGTACAGATATTTTAAAATTACTTTAACCAATAAAAATGAAATAAATACAAATAAATGAAATTTATTTAATGCTCCTTACAAACTCATTTCTATTAATAATAATAATATTGTATTTTAAATATTGTATTTTAAATATAATTGTTGCTATAAAGTCTGGATCAAAATAATCATATTTTACCTTCGTATTTTGTTTAATACTGAAATTCCCGACTATCCAGTGACACGAAATCACGATTAAATAAAATTTTCAGACTAGCCAGGATAATGATTTATAAATTTCTCAATGACTTGGTAATTTGTAGACCCTTTTTTAATTAAAAAATGCTCAAACGCGATCTTCAAAGAATGCTTAACATTATTTGTATAATTAAACAGGCACTCGTCGGGCAATTTCATTAGCCTGGCCCAGAGCTTACATAAGCCCCAAAAGCAGGAGCGGCAGGAAGATGATGTCTCAACCTCGATGCCGATGACTTTTACTGTCGTTGGGTTAAATATATGTATAAATGTGCATATATCTGTATGTATATATAGTACATGTGGGCGTCGTCTGCTGAATTTGTGCTGTGAAAGGGAAAGGTTATTAGACTCTTCCCGTGCAGGACTCTCGGCGGTGGGGGCCCAGACATTGGCTGCTCCTTATTGTTATAATAACCTTTCGGTTTTCTGCTTTCGCTGTCGACGGAAGTTTCAGGAGGCGGCAGGAGACAGAAGACGAGTGCAATGACAGCAGTCAACGTCGGTCCTTGGTCCTCGGATCCGGTCGAAGGCATTACGAAAGGCTCTCTTTTTCCTCTCTCCTTGGGCACAGCTTTTTAGAGGATTTCTCGGCTTTTTTTTTTTTTGGATATTTCGTTCGTTGACTCGAGCTGCGACCTAGGACCGTGCGACCTATGGCGTCGGCAAATGGCGGCCTCAGTTTAATGCACTCGCCGAGGTCACAGGACATCGAACACAGAACACAAGCGGCAGTTCGTTTGTTCGGTCAAAGCCACTTGGCCCCTTGACCCCACAGAGCAACCGTAATCATACTTAAATTACATTTGTTTCCAGATAAGTATTAATGTGACAGGAGTTGATTTTCAGGCGTTGGTCGTAAATAGATTTTCAAGTGGCGGCTTAGGAGGATATTCTGCATATTCAAGGGTAATAAACTTGAACGAATGCGAAAGGTTGCTAGGGGTCAATTATGGCTGATGAAATATGCAAAGAGCTTTGGTTATGTTATAGAAACGTAATCATAGGAACTTATTCATAGGGGGTAAGCTAATATTTTATGAAAAGGTTAAAATATATTCAAATAAAGTGAAAATTAATATACAAATATGTTATATTATATTTTTTAATGACATCTACGTTTTTTTTAAGTACTTAAAGTTAAGACTAAATATGTTAAAAATATTTAAAGATTAATAAATAAATTTAAAGAATAATAAATAATATTATTATTTGCCGCATTTATTTAATTAAGGGGGAAAATCCCTATTTCATATTTGTAGTTAGTGCACATAAAAATGAGTCATATATATGTACATTTATGATTAAATTGATTTTATAAAAATTCGGAATGACAACATTTCGTTCATTATCTAACGAAAATTTAATGACTAATGAAATCAGTTATGTTATCGAAGCCAATAAAGCCAATAAAAGGTGTCACATAATGACCCTTATCAAATAGCTTATGAAATTATTATATCAAATTGCAGTAGGTCAGTTACTGAATGTCAGTTTATAATAAAAAGTATTTAGTGGGTTTATTTTCATTAAAAGAACTTAAACTTATTAATAATTTTATTTAAATAATGAATAGTTCCCTTGAATTGAAAAAGATTTTAATTAAAGTTTACCTCATTGAGTTCTAACTATCTAAAATTATTAACTATTACTTTATATATGTCCATGAAATTGGTTAAAATTATTTACCTGCAAGAACTTTCCTAATATTATATCCCACACTCGGTGTCCCCGCCCACCGGCTTAAGTTTCTCCTTTCTGCTAGTCAAATTTCCCTCGACCGAATGCAAAGTATTTTTCGAGAAGAGAAAATGCCAAAGAAAATTCGCCAAAAGATTTTATGAGGTCAAAACTCATTACACGTTGCATAGTGCACACACAACGACACACACACACAGGTACTGCACCACGCCGGTGTTAGCCCCAATTCGGCGAGTGGGAAAAAGAAAAGCTGCAGCAGGCAGCGGGCAGCGGGCCATGACAGTTGCAGAGTTGCAACTTTCTAATGCGGCAACAGCAACTCAAAACGGATGTGGATCGCGGCAACGTGGCAGCATTATGTGTGCCACACTGCAACAGCAACAACAAGATGCAACTTCGCAGCAGCCACAGCTCCAGCAAGAGCAAGAAAAACGAATTTCACCAAACTGCTTTCCACTGCAAATTACTTAACTATTTTCCCAGTTTTCGCTTTGTCGTGCAATTTGCAAACAGTTGTTGCATGCTGTTGCATATTAGCGGCTGCAACATCGCCATCGCCATCGACATCGGCAGAGGCAGTGAAAAGTTGGTCATGACAATCAAATGGCAAACACTGAGAGGGGTACTACTATATACTTTTTTTTTCGTATTCCATTTATTTTATTATTTCTAGTGTGTCGGCGGCGGTGTTGTGCTCACTGATGCATTCCGCCGGCAGCCATTGCAATTTAGGTGGGCTTTGGTAGGGTCTCCTTCCTCTCAGGTAATAATCGACTTGAGCAGAAGTGGCTTTCTCGAAGGGGGAGAGGCCACTTAGTCACAGGAATATGACTAACCGACTGGTTCGACCCTAAGTTCAGCGAGTGAGTCAGAGTGAGGTCGGTCCTTCCTACCGCAAGACCTTATTCTTGAAGACCCTTGGCATTCTTTAGGGCCAAAAGCCTGTAAAAAGTTTCAACTTAGTGAAGAAGTACAGACATTTTCTGATGGATAAATAAATAAAGTTAATAATAAGCAGTTAAACCAGGATAAACCAATCAATTTTTCAGTCTAACCATGCCAGTATTAAACTCTTTTTTTAATGACAAGCAATCTTAACATCTCTATTCCCCCCACAAATGTCGACGTTAAAACTTGATTTAAAATCCTGACAAATCCGCTTAAGCAGTTAACAGCTAGTTAGCTTGGTGAAAATAAAGAGCTCCAATGCATTTCTACTTAATTAATTGTTGGTGCTGTCAAGTTGGCAAGTACTCAATAAAAAAGCTCGAGCTCAAGTTTTCTGGGATTAAGACTTTTCCTGAGAGAGATATACCGTTTGGCCCCTTAATTAGAAACCAGTTAAGTGTCGTCGCCCAGCATCGCACATAACTTGATCTATTAACTCTGTTTCTCCTTCTATTTATTTTTGTTAGCTTCTTTTGTGATTGGGGGGAACGATGGGGATTGGAGTGAGTGAAGAGTTAGATCCATGGCTCGATATCGTGCCCGTGCCCCAGTGATCTAATAAACGGCGCATTGTCATTCGCTCTACGCTTGGCATATCAGAGACCGACTTTGTTTGTCACTCAATATGCCCGAAGCCGAAACTGGGACACATTCATTAATTTATCGCATGCAAAACAATCCGCAAAAGTATCTAAGGTGTGTGTGTGAGTGTGTGTGAGTGTGGTGTTTGATGCAGCTGCCTGCAGTCGGTCGACACACAAAAAATAGAAAGTTTTTCGCCAAACCGTTGTTGTTAGCTGCAATTTTCTCTTTGCAATTTGATTAAATAAAATATTGTGTAAAGCCGGCAGAGCAACTTTCCCAACAGCAACAGCGGCGCAGCCACGACTTCTAAGTCGGTTACTAGATGCAATAATAATTGCATTTGTCCCACTTTACTTTCACTTGGCAAGAGTCCCAAGCAACAAGCTACACAAGCAACAAGGCAAGGCAGCGGCGCAGGCGTCGACTTTGACTTTGTGTGGAGTTGCCTGTTGCAGCTTTTCCAGCTCCACACTCCACTTTCCTCTCTCTCGCAATCTCTCTCTCTCTCTCTCTCTCTGTGTTGCATGAAAAGTTGCAACTTTTTCCAGTCGCTTGGTGGAAAACTGTTTGCCATTTGGCTGCGCAGGCTGGCCGGGCAAAAAGGAAAAGTGGGTCAAGCGCACCATTGTTGTAGATGCTGCCTGTGTTGCTGCTGTTACTTGTTGCATGCCGCCACTTAATTGACAATTGGCGCTGCAACACACACAGAAATATATATGTGTGTTTGCCATTTGATTTATGAAACTGGGTTACCAAAGCCATTGCTGCTTTCCTTTTTCTAATCCAACTAGAAATTAGGAATGTTAGAAAATATTTATATCTTGATAATGTATTGATATTTACCGCCAAGTTTGATAAATAAATACATATAATCGATGCTTCATCGTTCTGATATATGAGCAAAAAATCAAAATACTGTAAGATATGTCAGACTAATATAAACGGAAAGGCGATAAATAAATTTAATAACTTTTATCAGATATTTTTTTGATATTATCGATTTTATAACTTTTAATCTAAATTTGTTTATATATTTTAATTTTATTTACCAATTTTTTTAAAATATTTGCAAAAAAAAAAGTCATTATATTTTAAACATATTTAAACGAATTTTCAAATTCCGTGTTCTATAGAACATAGAAATAAAGAATTTATAATAATTTTTCCTGATACTTTTCGGTTTATAATATTTTAAGGTTAAACGCGCCACTTTCCACAATTTTTGATACGCTTAATCTATTATTTAAACGATATTTTTCGATAATTTTGGTCGATATATCATTGTTTTTTCCATATATCCATAGTCCAATGAAACTCTTTCTCTTGTTTGTGTTAACATTTCGTCAATTTATTTACTATCATTTAAAGATCTTTTTATATATTATACAGTAGTACAGCAGATCGAATGCTTGCATCTTAAACATATGTACCTTTTGTATTTTTACACCACCTTCAATATGGATTGATTGGTTTTTGTTTGTGTGTTTGCTGTACATTAAAAAAATTACATTGTATCCATGATCCTGCTTCTTTTTTTTACTCAAACTGAGAGTCTGCGCCTAATATATACATTTTGTTAAATTTTGTAGCGTTCTTTAGCTCTTCATTATCCTCTGCTTTCCTGTTTTCTTTTCTTTTTTTGGCATCGAAACAATAAATAAAAACATTTACAAAAAATTAAATGTTATTTGAAGCTAAGCTATAGCTTGTCAAAGAAAACTAAACTAAAGTGGAAAGAAAGTTTCAGGGCTGCGGCCAAAAATTTAGGAGAAAATGAATTCAAAAACATTTTTCCTGGTGTGGAGAGGGGAAACCTTAGTCCCCTGGAAACTATAAGGTGACTTGGTCGTAACTAAACAAAGAGTTCTAAAGAAATAGGAATAGTAATAGCTTGGTTATCGTCGATGCAGGATATTGGAGAGTGTGCGTATTTGCTTCTGCAGCTCGGACTCCATGCGATAACCCTCCTCCTCGAATATCAGCCGCATCTCCTGCAGCGCCGGCAGCTTGTCCGCCTGCATATTCAGCAGATCACCAAAGAACTTGGTCCACACATGCTTCTTGAGGTAGCGCGGCAGCTTCTGACGTATCTCCCAATTGGCGCCGCGCTTCAGCGGCTGCATATACTCGCCGAACAACATCACATGCACGGTGGCCGCAATGCAGAAGAGATCCGTTTCATAGGACCAGCTGCGTCCCTCCTGCATCTCAATGCAGGTAAACCCGTCCGTCTGCACCACCTTACGGAACTTGGTGCGTTCGGCGTCCGGAAACAGCGACATGTCGATGGCGCAACCAAAGTCTATCAAACGCAGCGACGGCACAGGACTGTCCACGCTGGGCACGCGCATCAGTAGGAAATTATCCGGTTTAATGTCCGCATGGATGATGTGGTGACGATGCAGATGGTCCACAATGTTGCAGATCTGGGCCGAAAAGTGCATCACCAGGGATTCGTGCATTACCTTTGTGGTGGCCTGACGTAACTTATTGTTGATGTCCAGCAGGGAGCCGAAGGGTGAAAACTCTGTGGCTATCAGGCTGGCATTTGGCGCTATAATCGCCGTGGAAATATCCATCAAACCGGGTAGAACCTCCGGCTCCGTGATGCGTTTCAGCACCTGATCACATATGTAGATCTCCCAAGTATTTGGGGGCTTCTGGAACTTAAGGGCCACAACGTTCCCGGTGCGTGAATCCGTGGCCTTGTATACCGAGCCGTAGGAACCGCGGCCCACCTCTTTGTCAATGTTGAATGTGACGCCCTCGAGGACGTTGAGGGTGCGAGTGTTGGATATTTTTGGCAGTGGCGTTTGCACAATCTTGTAGCTGGCATGGGCATCATGATCGCCCGGAAAGTCCAGCTTGGCGAGGAAGGCGCGACAGAGTTCGCTGCTAAACGGATCGATGGCCTCCTTGGCCAAGTGTCGGGCGATTGTCTCCACCGCCTTGGACAGGCGACGCTCCTGAGCCTCTGTGTCGTGCTGGGTGGCAAAGTACGAGTTCTCCTGGAACGTTGAGAAATCGGCCAGGGTTGAGCCGTTGCCATTGTTATTGTTGCTGGTACTATTGTTATTGTTGTGCGTTTGCAGTGTCTTATTGACCGGATGGAGCTGGATCTGCTGCTGGGAAGCCGAGTCACGGAAATTAAGTCTATCCACAGCCAGGGAGAGCGAGCTATTGGAATTGTCCAAGGCACTGGCGCTGGAGAACGAGAAGTTGGCATTGTCATTGTAGCCGCCAAGAGCCGCTCCGGCAGCCATGCTGCTGGAACTAGCCGTGGAGGCCAACACATCCGCCGCCGAGGAAGCCGAGTTGCTGTTGCTGCAAAGTTCCGGCTGAAACTTGCTGCGTTTGACTTTGGTGCGAGCCCTGCGATAACCATTCGCCTCGCTCTTGGGCGTCGACGTCTGGCCCAGCATGTAGGGATGGAAGTGATGGTGTTGATGGCCACCGCCATTGCGCTGACGCTGGACGGGTATGGGAGAGCCAGGAGCTGGCTCCGGTGGTGGGTAATGCTGTGCTGCCTGTGGCGGCTGTTGGATTATCTGTTGCTGTTGCTGTTCCTGCTGTTGCTCCTGTTGCTGGTGCTGCTGCTGCTGATGCTGCTGGTAGACATTTTCTATGGTATAGGCACGATAGGTGCTACTGGGCTCCTTCCTAAACTTGATCTTAATAGAGCGGTTCTCCTGCTCAAAGGTGGTCTGCGCGCTAAACTGCACGCCATTGGTGTAGGCTGGTTCGCTAGGTTCTTCCTCCTCTTCGTCGTCCTCATCCTCCTCTTCCTCTCCCCCCTCGGAGTCATCTTCCTCATCGTCTTCCTCTCTTGCTACGCCTTCTTCCGCCTCGTTCTCTTCGTTCTCCTGGCCACTGCTGCTGTTATTATGCCCGTAGAGAGCTCCATCCACGGCAGTAATGTAGTAAGAGGTCTCGGAGCCATAGGAATCATACAATGTCTGCTGCTGTTGCTGCTGCGACTGCGACTGTGACTCTTGTTGTACTTGTGGCTCTGGCGGCGGCTTCACTGCCTTGTATTTGCGGGATAAAATCTCCTCGGGACTGTACTCAATGCCAGCGCCTGGAGGATAGACCAACTGCTTGGCATAGTGGCATACCCGCGAGGGGTCATCGGGCTCTTCCAGAGTCAAGGCTGGCTTCCAGGTCTCGTGATTGTTGCGTCCATAAGCGTGGAAATTGCGCGGCAAACGAATCCCAGTCACATCACTGGCTGCAGCAACTCCGGGCGATGGTTGGTGCTCGGCATGGGCATTGCCATTGCGATTGCCATTCTGTTGGGGAAGCGACTGAGGCGGCTGAGGCTGTTCCTGCTGAGGATGGGCATGTTGCTGTGGGACAGCTGGTTCATGGTGTTGCGGAGGCGGCGGCTGCTGCTGCTGCTGCTGCTGCGGTATAGGTTGATGAACATAATGCGGCTGTAAATTGATTTATTTTAAAAAGTTTTTCAAAAAGATCAAGATCAATACTTACCTCTGCCGCTGGAGCAGCATACTGAGGTTGAACATGCGCTGTTGCAGGTCGCTGGGCAGGATGGTGCTGCTGCTCATAGCGTGGTTGCTCCTGGTAGTGCGGTTGATAGGCCAGCTGTGGCTGGTCTGGAGGCTGATGAAGTTGCTGTGGCGGCGGCTGATGCTGCTGAGGAGCCTGATGTGGCTGTGGAGCCTGATGTGGCTGAGGAGCCTGATGTGGCTGTGGAGCCTGATGTGGCTGCTGTTGCTGCACTTGAGGAGGCGGTGCCTGATGCTGTTGCTGTTGCGGATGATATTGCTGATAGATATTCTGCTGATATGGCTGGGGACGGTGCTGCGGCGGATAAGAATGCGGCAACTGCTGTTGGGCATAGTTTGTAAGCTGCTGGAGGGCATCCTGCTGTTGTTGCTGCTGCTGCTGCTGTTGCTGCTGCTGCCGCTGGTAGAACATCGATCTTGCATAGTTAAACTTGGAGTGCGCATGCTGCAGCTCCGCATTGCTTTGAGCCTTCTCCTGGAAGGCCAGATTAAAGACCGCCTCGGCATCTTTGAACTCCTCGCGCGACTCGTAGTACGCAGCCCATCCGATATAAAAGGCAGCCACCTGACGGCCCGTACCGCGCTGGAAGAGCACCTGATAGAAGTGCAACGGATCCGTTTGCATTGCTATGTACTTGAGCCACAGCCGCACCAGGCGCGCATCCTGGCGATAGTAATCGTTGTGCTCGTAGACCGTCAGGCAGCGCTCCAGCGTTTCGCGGAATTTAAGCTCCGGATCGCTGTGCGCATGATTCTCGTACCAGCAAATGTAGTTGTACCAATGATCCAGCGGATCTGGGCCCTGGTATAGCGAGATGGCGTGCTCCCAGGCCTGCTTGTCCTTCAGGAAGCCGTGCATCTCGTCCGGACTTGGCACCGGCGGGGCACTCGTGGCGGCCGCCACAGCTGCAACTCCCGCTCCGGGCGCCGAGCCCGATCCCTGGCGCATGTACGAGTGCATGGCCATGTCAGGCGGATGGGGGAATCCCCTAATCACGCCGCCGCGCGTCGTCAAAACAAATTGGAAAGAACCTTTCTGCTGCTGCTTTTCTGGCCACTCGGAGTTCTCCAATTTCGGAGTCCGGTCACGCTCCGATTGGACACTTCTACGCGTTCGCTGCACCCGGTCGGTTAGTCCCTGATCAGAAAACAGCAATAGCACATGATTTTTAGGCAAGTTTTTCCTTGGCTTGCTGTGATCAAAGATATTTTTCCCTTTTTTTATTCTTTTTTTTTAATTTTTAGTTTCAATGTGCCCGCAGGCTGCTGTTTTGATGTTTCTAAGAATTCGTAAGGAAAATGGCGGATTTCCCCCTCCACGGCAGCTGGTCACATTACGATAGCTGAAAAATGGAACATTGGCGCTGCCATACTTTTCGAAGAAAACATTTGTTTTTGTTTTTTAATGGGTTGCTTAATTATTTCACTGATGTAATGCTTTAAAAAAAAGGTTTGTGATAATTTCCTCCATTTTTGTACTGCTTGTTATGCTGCGAAACATTTGGCGTTGGCAAAAAACGCTGTTGTCTATAGTGACGTTTTACAGCACTGACTTTGCAAAGCAAGGAAACTGTTTTCAAATTTGAACTTTTAATTATATATTTTGTAAATGTTTAAAATTAACTTTTTTGGTACAGTTTATTAGACTTCATTCTTAGCATTATTTAGTATATTAAAATAAACAACAAATTGTTTATTATGATTCTTTGAAGACTCTGGATAGTGTGACCAGAAATTATACTAGTTTCGTGTATTTCCTGGAAGTTCCATCCCTATGCTTACGGTTTCGGTTAATGGCCACCAGAAGGCGCCACCGTACTGCATTATTGTTTTTTTTATCAACTCGCAAGAAATTTCGTAAAATTTGTCGGAAAAACCGCAAAATCCGAGTGCTTATGTTACGTTCCATTAAAGTGCATATCATATATAAGTAGTATTAGTGACCCCGCACGCCCCCGCACTGCAACGAAACACGCGGAACGTCCTCCCTCCCCGCCACCAACGCGTATATTTTTGTTTTTCGACCCCTGGCCGCGCGTCCGTGGTGGAGTTTCCCCCAAAAAAGGTGCAGCAGCTTCGGCGAAGGAAACGCAATTGGAAACATTATCGATTTGACCGCGCGCGTGGCTAGCGTCCTGCTGCAAACTGAGGAGTCCCCCTCGTCCCACCCATGGAGGTGTCCGCCGATCCCTACGAGCAGAAGCTCTACCAGATGTTCCGCAGCTGTGAGACGCAGTGCGGCCTCCTGGACGAGGGCTCGCTGCTGAAGCTGTGCTCGCTGCTGGAGTTGCGTGATCAGGGCGCCGCTCTGATCGCCAGTCTGGGCAGCAGCCACAAGCTGGGCGGCGGCGTGTCCTTTGGCCAGTTCAAGGAGGCGCTGTTGAACTTCCTGGGCTCCGAGCTGGACGCCAGCACGTCGTCGGGATTTATGGGTGAGATAACGAGCGGCACTAACACACACATGCAAGATGCGGTAATGTTAGGTGGAAATTTCGTTTTATAGGTTTTTGATATGGGGAATTGTAGTTCTTTCAAGCCCGACATATCATGTTAAACCTCAATATGTCATTAATAATGACTCATTATGTCTTGATAATCATTTTGATTTGTTTTTTTCAATAGAGGGTTAAGGCTAGGCCTCTAGTTTTGATTCCATTAATCAAGGTTTAAGTCGTAATTGGAGATTGGGGGTTTCTTGGCGACATTTTAAAGAAATTAAACCAAAAAATCGTTTAAAGTCGGAAATAATTATAATAATTTTAGTAAGTTCTTAAAAAAAAAAGTAATTTTATTTCGAAAATATCGATTTTAAATCGATTAACTAACAAAAAATCGTTGAAAGTCAGAAACTTTTGTAAGTTCTTAAAAAACATAGTTTCTTTATGCTAATATCGATTTGAAATCGATTTTTTAATCTGCGATAACCCTGTTTAAACAAATGCCAATTTGTATTTTCGGCTAAAAACCTATTAGATTTCGTATTTCTTCAAAAATAAATTTTTTAATTACTAAAAATCGTTATGTATTGATATAATAATAAGAATAAATAGATCAAAAATGTATAAAACATCAGTTTGTGACATCACAGTCAGTTTTATAATCTTTGCAAATCTTGGATAACAAAGACAAAATTTGCATAAAGAGCAGGCACACTTTTGTGAATTCCAAAATGTCTCTGGGGAAAGTTCTGGGCGGAATAAGGACACCCTTGCCCGAGATTAAGGGTACATAAGCATCATTAACAGATTAGCGGATTAGCGCTCCAGGAGCAGCAGCTGTTAAAGGGTCATAAACTCAAAGATGCAATGGCAATTTTTTTATGATTCTTGACGCCTACCTGATCCCTGATCCCGATCTAAACTTCAAATCACTACCTGCTCCTGCATAAATACACGAATCATTCAGCTACACAGTTTAGTCTCGTTCAGAATGGGAACCCGCTTCTATTACCGCCAAGCCGGCGGACAGATAAGAGATCCAGTCGTTGAGAAATTAGCCGCACGCTTCGGTATACACTTGAGAGAGCCATCCAACAATCTCTGTCAGTTCCTCACTAATCTGTATTTCATTTAAATCTTTGCAGAGCGCTCGCTAGTGATAACAGATGAGCCGTTGGCCAGCACATATATTGAGAGCCCGCCGGAATCCTCTGACCGGGAGGTGTCACCGAAACTCGTGGTGGGCACCAAGAAGTATGGCAGGAGATCTAGGCCGCATCAAGGAATCTACGAGTTGTCGGTGACGGATTCGGACAATACGGATGAGGATCAGATGCAGCAGAAGCAGCAGCAACAGCAACGTAGTCTCAACGGCAGCGAAGAGCTTGGAGCTCAGGTGAGTGAGTGGGGAAGTGGCAACAAGTCACGTACGAGGTGGGGGCGATACAAGTTCTGGGGTTTGTAAGCTAAAGTGCAGTGTAAGCTGTTTTTTGTCAAGTTAAAATGGTAAAGTTAGCGCTATAATTATAAGGCAAGCTAGCAATTGAAGCTAATCCCTATCTTAAAACCTTTATTTTTCCCCTCTTTATAGGTGCAGCGTTCCTCCTCCCAAAGCGATATCCACGGCAGTCGGCGTCTGCGTACCGTCCACACCAGTGGCAGCAAGCTCAAGCGTTGCGCCTCCCTGCCAGCCCGCCGGAATTTACAATCCAAAATGCACAATGTCTCAACGGGAGCTACGACATCGCCGACGGCAGCCGCCAAGCTAAAACAGCTGTCCATCCAGAGCCAGAATCAGCAGAGCAGCAGTATCGAGTCTCTGGGTAAGTTAACGGCAAGCAAACCCGTTCCCCAAACCCCAAACCCCAAAACCCAATACCCCTAGCTGCCCCACCGTTTGTTGTTAGCCCAAAGTACCCCAAAATTTACGTTTGAAGCAATGACAAAAGAATCACTTGTTGGTTTGGTACACACCGCAGGCCATCACCTGGCCGCCACCGCATCCGCACCGTCGCCCGAGCACCGGAGATGCTACCACGGCGGCCGTTGGTTATGTTGCAAAGGTTTGTGCGCTCTCTTAAGAGCAAATTGTCAACATGTCAACACCTCCCCCCAAAAAAACCAATCATTCTTGGTACTTAATCGCACCCTATGTAGCAGCACTTGTTTTTACGTATAACCATAACCCAAAATTCCCTTTCTGGTGGAGCTGGAACAGCTAGAGGCATTTTATAGTTGTTTTTATTAGAGAAAATGTTTAAGTTTAAATGAAAAAGTAAATATTAAAAATACCTACAGTTTTTAAAAAAAGTTTTTGTTGTCAGTTTTTAGTAGATTATATTTTTTTTATGACAAAAATATTTAATATATAATATTTTTTTTAAGTTTTCAAAGAGTTTATTACATTTTTGTAGTGATTCCAAGTAGCTAAAAAACAGTGAAACTATTTATTTTTTGCCTATCCAACAACCGTTCCAAGACCCAGCCACTTGATACGTTCTGCGCTTTTGCTTTTAACCATCAAAACACAAACCTGAAACCGAAATCACACTCCCTATCCCCCAAATCCCACTCCCACCTCTGGTATCTTGGGCTATAAAATAATTTAAATGTGTATATATACAATCTCCTATCTAACGCCTTCCCCCTTGTGATAATTGTGGATTCCCCGTGAACTTACAGACACCGTGACGCCGCAACAGCTGGAGACGATCAGTGCGCACACCATCATCGATGCCTGGGAGCTGGCCAGCATTCTCAATTGCCGAAACCTGCTGCGTATCCTTGGTTTCGATGAGGACGAAGAGGAGGTTAATTTGCAGCAGCTGACCAAGGCTTTGGAGGAAGAGCTGCGCGGTCTCGATGATGACCAAGAGCAGTCGAATATGCTAAGAGCTTTGGCTGCCCTGCAGGCCACCGAATTGGGTAATTATCGCCTTGCCTTCCGCCAGCAGCACGAGGAGAATGTGAAGCTGAGGGCGGACAACAAGGCGGCGAACCAAAGGGTGGCCCTGCTGGCCGTTGAGGTGGATGAGCGGCATGCCTCGCTGGAGGATAACTCCAAGCAGCAGGTTCAACAGCTGGAGCAGCGGCATGCCAGCATGGTAAGGGAAATGACCCTGCGGATGAGCAATGATCGCGATCATTGGACCAGCATGACGGCCAAGCTAGAGGCGCAGATCAAGACCCTGGAGCAGGAGGAGATTCGCCTTAAAACGGAACTCGAACTGGTGCGCACTGAGAACACGGAGCTGGAAACAGAGCAGCAGAAGGCGCATGTCCAGCTCACGGAGCTGCTCGAGCAGAACATCAAGCTTAACCAGGAGCTGGCCCATAGGTCGAGCAGCACTAGCATCAGCGGTGTCACTCCCGAGCACAGTCCCTTGAGCCCGCGGAGGCACAGTGAGGACAAGGAGGAGGAGCTGCTGCAGCTCATGGAGAAGCTGGCAGCTCTCCAAATGGAGAATGCCCAGCTCCGCGACAAGACTGATGAGCTGACCATTGAAATCGAGAGCTTAAATGTAGAACTAATCCGTTCGAAATCCAAGGGCAAAAAGCAAGAGAAGCAAGAAGACCAGGAGGCGGCTGCCACGGCCACCAAGCGGCGTGGCGACTCACCCAGCAAAACGCATCTCACGGAGGAGAGTCCGCGGCTGGGCAAGCAGCGAAAGTGCACTGAAGGAGAGCAGAGTGATGCCAGCAACAGCGGCGACTGGTTGGCTCTCAATTCGGAGCTCCAGCGAAGTCAAAGTCAGGATGAGGAGCTAACCAGCCTGCGGCAGAGGGTGGCTGATCTGGAAAAGGAACTTCAAGCCGCCAAGGAAGGTAGATCCCTCACACCCGAAGGTCGCTCCAAGGAACTGGAGGCCAGCCTCGAGCAAATGCAGCGCGCCTACGAGGATTGCGAGGACTATTGGCAATCGAAGCTTAGTGAAGAGCGGCAAATGTTCGAGAAAGAGCGCCAAATCTACGAGGATGAGCAGCAAGAGAGCGACAAGAAGTTCACCGAGCTGATGGAGAAGGTGCGGGAGTACGAGGAGCAGTTCAGCAAGGACGGCCGACTCTCGCCCATCGACGAGCGTGATATGTTGGAGCAGCAGTACGTGGAACTGGAGGCGGAAGCCGCCCAACTGCGCTCCAACTCCATGCAAATGCTCGAGGAGAAGTCGCAGGAGATCATTGGCCTGCAGTCAGAGATCGAGGATCTGCGTCAACGGCTGGGTGAGAGCGTGGAGATTCTCACCGGCGCCAGTGAACTCACGCCGGAATCGGTGGCTCAACTAAGTGCCGAGGCGGGCAAGAGTCCGGCCAGTTCGCCCATTAGCTACCTCTGGCTGCAGAGCACCATCCAGGAGCCGGTGAAGTCCTTTGCCGGCACTGGGGACGAAGCCGCTGCCAGTGCCATCGAACTGCTGAGTGCTGGCGGTGGCGGCTCACCATCGCACAAGGCTACCAGCCGGTGAGTATGCCATGAAGACTCTCTGTGTTTGTTTGTCCTTGGTGTGTGTGTGCCTGCATCCTCATTAGTTCTCTTTACCGCATTAATCTCTATGTTTTATGTACATATATATTTTTGTTTTGTCTTCGAAATAATCCCTAATCCATGTCTACAAGCTAAGCTCATTTAGTTTTTAAGTTTATGTTTATGTACGTGTTTTATAAATATAATTTATTTAAGAATATATTACTTTATTGCAAAATAATAAAAAAAAATAAATACATATATAAATAAAAAAACAAAACATTAATAAACAAAAATATAAAAAGAACAAAAAGCTCACCTTAGAGAATTACAAACACATAAAGCCTAAGTGGCTCCCGGAATGATCTTAAAATTCCCAAGTACGAATTCAGCGTGTCCATTTCAACGGCTACGTTAAATTAGTTAGCAACATTTCGGGTTTTGGTATCTTCTGGCGTAATCTTAAATGTTTTTGTTTAAAAAGAACTTTATTTTATTTAAGAAAATGTTATTAAAATCGATTTTGAGCTCATTTTAAAATAGAGCTTAACATAAATATAATAAATCAATTTTTTTTTAAAGACTTTCCCATATAAACTTCTCCTCTAAACCCTGTTTATAATTTGTTTAAACAGCAACAACCTTACCACCTCGGAAACATCCATCTTTAGTACCACACCCTTCGATAGCTCTCACTCGGGTGGTGGTCCATCGCCCACAAATAGTGACACCACAAACGCTTCATCAGCCGCACCAACAGGTCCTGCGCCCATCAGCAAACCCAAGCGACGGGCGCAGAGTCCGCAGCAGGCGCAATCCGAGGGAGAGATTGCCGACTGTGAGACCTCGTCGACGGCTTCCAACAAGAGCTTCGATACCCACAGTCAGGTGTCCATTAGCAAAACGTCTTGCCTTAGCCACGAAAAGTGCACCAGTCCCAATGCCCTGAAGGAGGAGCTGAAGCGCCTCAAGTTCTTCGAGTTGTCCCTCAAGGAGCAGATCAAGGATTTGAGCCTGCAACGTGACGGTTTGGTCATGGAACTGCAACAGTTGCAGGAGGCGCGACCTGTGCTCGAAAAGGCCTATGCGGTGAGATATTCGAAATATGTTGAATAAGATTAAATCTAATTTTATTTTGGGGGTTTTTATAAATAGCGAACAACGCATCCAACACTTCAGCAGCGACTGAATCAACTGGAGCTGCGGAATCGCCATCTGCAGAATGTTATCAAGCAGCAGCAGCAGTACACCGAGTCCCTGATGCAGCGTGAGTATGGGAACTAAAGGGAATTTTAGGGCTTTTCCTGTGGGGCTGTAAATAAATTGGTTTTTTCTTAGAATCCTGGAGGCAGCATCAAGTGGAGCTCAACGAACTGCATGGCCGGATCGAAACCCAGGGCGTCATGCTAGCCGATCAAACGCAGCGCTTACAGAATGCCGACATACTTGTCAAAGATCTGTATGTGGAGAACTCTCATCTAACTGCCACTGTGCAGCGGCTGGAGCAGCAGCGGGCAAGGGTGAACCTCATACACCAGCAGCAGCAACAGCAGCAGCAGCAGCACAGGCTCGTGGGAGCCGCCAGCTTGGGCGGAATGCCCGGCATGCCTTAGTAACACAACTATATAGTTTATAGAACTAGAAAAAAAAGATGAAAAAGACAACAAAACCTGAGGAGAAAGGGTGCTCAGCATCGTCGGCAGACATCGATATCGTTATGAATGTTAGACACACTCGGTAGAATAAGTTATGTATTCGTACGTGGCGTTTTTTGTAAATGAATGTGAAATCCATGTTGTGCACCAAGAGTTAAGCAGGAAGAAATATCGAAGTTTTCGATGTTTTGCTAGGTAAATATCGATTTTATCGGCCTTAAACATCGATGTTCTTCAAGCTCTAACCGAGACACCGCATCAACAATAATTAAAGTGACTTGGACCCTTAACGTTAACTTTAAACTAAACTTTAAACCTTAAACTGAAAATGAAACTTAAACCTAAACTCACCCACGCGCAAAGAGGAACAATCCACACACTCGGTAACTTGGTAATCGGCTAACTAAACTGATCTGAACTATTTACATGCTGATATGCATGCACTGCAATGTTGACCTTACTACATTAATTGACTACCGAAAAATAGTTAACGTATATATTTAATTAAATTAGAAGAAGCAGTATTTTAAATTTGTTATGCGTCTGAGTGTAGGCGGAGCGCGTTTATCAATGTTTATATATCACGTGCCCATAACCAAATGCATCGGAATTGTTGTTAATATTATTGGTAGAAAACAAAGGAAAACCAAGCGAAATTAAGAGGAATGATCTATTATATGATATTGATGATATATACTATATATTATTATGTAACGACAAAAGACCTGTAAAAAACACACACGTATCTATGTATTTAAATTGCGATTTAAGTTAGCCAATACTCTCTCCCAAAAACGCTTTTGTTAAACCCTTTTCCTCCGCCCAAAAACTAACACTCGATTTAAAAAAAAATGATGTACAACAACCTCAATTTAGTTATAAAGCTACTCGATCTCTCACACTCGCTGTGTGTTGGGACTTTCAGTGCTTAACCAATCTTCGATCAAAATAGTTTACTTTTTAAAAGTATAAAGAAAAAATATTTAACAAAAAAATATAAAACCAAATATACAATTAAAAAAAACTACCAAAATCTATAGCATTTTTATTGTAAATTTTCGGTGGGAAGATTTTTTAAGTATTTTATTTAAAATTTTTTTTACTGGAATTCTATTTTATCTTCTTAAAAACTTTTTTATTTTTATTTTTTTTTTTATTTTTTAAATTTGAATTGATTAATTTTAATTTTAGCTAAGTTCAGTGTTCTGTTCTAGTTTTTAATAGCTTAATGAAACTGCATTCTAAAATTAAGAAATAATGAGATCCAAATTTTTGAAATTTATATATTTAAATAAATTTAAATTATGGGTTCAGGAAATGACTCCTTCACTGCGTTCACAAGCTTCTGACTGAAATTATAATAGAAAGCGATTACGATTACAAATAATTTTCATACAAATTGTGATTTTAAATAATTTTTCTCTATTTTAATGTTTAAAAACTAGACAATAAAAAAGCTTAGTTGAATAGGCTAGATTAAAAAAGAAATATCTAAAATAACCTAAAAATATACTAAAATATACCAATAAAACAATAGCTACTATTTGAGATTTTTTAGGGCGAAAGTTAAATTTTCATTTCGCAACACTGCTTGACGCGAATTGGAGTAAAAATGTTTTGTTTTTTGTTAGTTTTTGGTGTAAATGTGATTTTTGTGCATTTATCAAGTGGTGAGTGTTAGCTTTATGCAAAAGACATTCAAGAAAATGAACTGAAAAGATGGAAAACCGCCAAGGCGAGTTGTTTTTCATGCGCGAGTGTGTGTGTGTGTTTGGTGCACTTCGCGGTGCATGTGACTTTGTGTGGGTGTGTGTGTATATATGCGGTTTGTTTTGTTATTCGATGCGCAAAATGGTCATAATTTAATTAAATTAACCATTTGTTGGCGAACGCAAATGCTGTAACGAAGGCCCACAAATGCGGCCCCATGACAACAAACATCATAGTGGAAAATCATTAATTTGGTTTACACAAGTCCAGGAATTTCTCAGGGCCAAAATGGCTAAGGACGCCTTTCTTTTTGTGTGAATGTTTATACACGTTTTAAAACAGGAAGTTTATATTACACGTTTGTTTAAATATTATAGATCCACCTGTAGCTGGTTTGTTTATAGTTTTGTTTTGTTTAAAGTTCCATTTCAGTTGGTAAACATTTTCGTTGTTATTGTTTTTATATAGCAACAGGCAGGTTTGTTAGCCTATATCCAATTGGCAACTGATATGTATTCAATTCCAATTGGACAGTTTCATATATCGAATTTAAAGAAAAGATATTTCCTATTCGATGTGCACTTGCATTTTGGTTCTATAAATAATTATTGATAATTACATTGTTTACGGCAGAAACAGGTTCAATAACAGTTCTGTTAGAAACGCAATGTTAAAGCGTAATGTTAACAGAGGCTTTTGTTTATTTGTGTTTGTTTTATTAAGGAAAAAGGCATAATATATAATAAATAATAATTATAAATAATAAATAATTTATTTTGGACTGATCATTAAAATCTAAGAATATAAAAACGATTAAAGCCATTATATTGAGAAATTAAACTATTTAAGGCATCTACAATTTTTAGTGCATACTTTTAGGCTTCTTTCCTAATACCTTCGGTGAATAATCTAAAAAACCGATCTTATATTAAACATTTCATTTATTATTAATCACTCCATTATGACTAAAAACTTGGGAAATGGTATATACAATTTTATTTCTTTTAAAATGTTCATATTAATAAAAAGTAACTTCCCTGAAAATTGGATATATTTGGTACATTTGGTCAATTTAACAATTTTATTTGGAATTTACCACCATTATTTGCTTTCCCTTCTTAACAACTTCACCTTGACATTCTGATGCGTTCGCAGAACTATTCCAGTTTCAAAGGTCAGGTCCTCCAGAATTGTGACTGGTAGAATCTTAAAGTTCCTAATAACGGCTGCCAGTAGGACCTTCATCTCTAGGATAGCAAACTTTTGTCCAATGCAATTCCTTTGACCGGCACTAAAAGGCACAAATGCGAAGGGATGACGATTTACTGTGTTTTCCGGCAGAAAACGCTCCGGTTGGAAGTCATTCGGTTTCGTAAAGTGCCGAGGATCCCTCATTATGTCGTAGATTTGCAAGTTGATTTGGGTATCCTTGGGCATAATCAAACCATTGACCACACACTCTTCCATGCATTTGCGCCCGATAAGAGGCACCGAGGGGAACATCCTAAGGGATTCCTTGATCACACATTCCAAGAAGACGATTTCGTTGAATTGGAACAGCGAGATCTCATCACTATCCTCGGGCAGATTCTCCAGCTCCTCGTAGCATCGCTGTTGGACATCCTGGTGCAGGGCCAGCATGAGGAAGGTGAAAATAAGACAAGTGGAAGTGGTGTCGTAACCCTCGAACATGAAGGTGTTGACCTCATCGCAGATACCCTGATGATCGATTTTACCCTCTGCCTCCGCGGCTAACAAGGTGTCCAGCATGGCATACCGCTGCTTCTTGCCTAGGACATCTTCATGCACTTGACCGATTTGCTTGCTTTTGAAAAGTCCTCTCTTTTTCTCTATGATGCGACTGGAAAAGTCGTGGGCTATCTTAAGGTTATCCACATGCTTTCTATAGTCCCCAAAGAGGTAGAAGTAGACGAGGTTGTAGAGAAGGGGATTGCATATTCGTTGCTGCATGACCTCTTCGATGGCGTGTATGGATTCGCGATATCGGAAGCCATCGGCCATGTCATCCAATTTTACACCCAAGGCGGTCTCTGTAAAAAGAATTATTCCATTATTAGGTATTAATAAACTATTGAAAATCCTTTACTAAAAGCTCTAAAGTGCATTTAATTAGTATTTAAAGAGTTTATTTGCTTTAAACGAATTTGAACGTTCAAATTTCAATGGCAAGTCATGCTGATTTCGTAGGTTTTATATGGGTTAATAGGATTTGAGATAAGAACCCAACAGTTTGCATAAACAAAAATTTTGGCAAGTCATGCTGATTCCGTAGGTTCAATATGAACTTGCAATTATATATAATTTATGTCACTTTGTCTATTGATTTATACACAACTCACCGCAAACATTATTTAGCGTAAACTGTGGAATAACCTGATTGAGCTCCAATTCTTTATCCACACTCTGATTCAGAACTTTTACAAGCTTGTGACACTCTTCTCTGTAATAAATTAATATTAATAAATACAAATTAGCCTCTTAAAAAAATAAAACTCACTTGAATATGGCCAGGAAAGACTGCAGGACATTGAAATGGAAGGCAGGAGTTAGAGTCTTGCGCCTGGTGTGCCATTTTTTATCTGTATTTGGAATTAAACTTTTTAAAATTAAAGTTTAGTATATCCTAAACGATTCCCACCTGTGCTGATAAGCAATCCTTCGCCCAAAAACGGCCTCAGCAGCTCATAGATCATATTCTTGGTGATTAGTTTGGGATTTTGGAATATCTCTTCAGCTTCCTCTGCTCGTACAACATTGTACATGGGTGCGTTGAAGAAATACCACAAATAATTCCGCCCCTCAGCCTTAGCAGTTGCATTCCTCAGAAAGTTAAATACAGTGGCTAGAGGGATTTCTCTTAATTATAATAAAAATAAAATATATTTCCCACTACTCACCAGGCGTAAAGCTCAACAGGTCAAAGTTGTTGCCAAATCGAGTTTTTGTTGGCGTTACAAAAATCTTGCTTTCCAGCGGACTGCCATCTACTGTGTGGATTCTCTTACACAGACTCAAGATAAAGTATTGACGGTCCACAATTTTCCATAATTTGCCAAAAAGAAAAACCACAAAAATAACACACAGTAGAGCCTCCAAAATCATTTCGGTTTGTTGTGCGAGATTAGAGTCTGAATTCCTCGCACTTTAAGCTCTGATCTAGTAATGACCGTTGCCGATTAGAATCTCTGTTGATAAAAGCTCAGCTATATTTTTATATTTTATTTAGCTTAGTATAAAACATGTTCACAGACAGGGCACGCGATGAATGACCGTATATTTATGACACCTATATAATTTTAATACTTGTTGGGGATTTTTAATGGGATTACTATAGTTGCTGTTTTTAATGAGCATTTTAATTAAAATGTAATTCAACCTGCATTAAGGTTACTATTTTATATTCAAAGAATGAGTTATAAGAAGTTAATATTTCAAAAGCCAGTGCATTGCCCCTTTGTCCAGTTAAAAAATATTCAAATATGTTTCAGTCATTATACAATTCGTTTATTTTTATAATATTAAAGATCAGTGCTTACAAATTAAAGCTTTAACCATGCTTTAACATTTTATAATTTGATTTTCTTGGTTTATGTATTTCTTTTCTTTGGCAAACATTTCATTTCAACCTATTACGAGTTTCACTCCTTAGACCTCTTTACCAATTTTACCTTAATATTTTCCTGGGTTCTTAGTACAATGCCATTCTCAAAAGTCAAATCTTCAATTTGGGTAGATGGCAGCAACTTGAAATTCCTAATAACGGCTGCCAGTAGGACCTTCATCTCTAGGATGGCAAACTTCTGACCAATGCAATTCCTTTGACCTGCACTAAAAGGCACAAAGGCAAAGGGATGGCGATTCACTGTGTTTTCCGGCAGAAAACGCTCAGGCTTGAACTCATTTGGTTTCGGGAAGTGGCGAGGATCCCTCATGACATCGTAGATGTGAATGCTAATCTGGGCATCCTTGGGCATCACCATGCCATTCACCACACACTCCTCCACGCACTGGCGTCCAATAAAGGGTACCGAGGGGTACATCCTCAGGGATTCCTTGATCACACACTCCAAATAGACGAGTTCGTTGAACTGGAACACCGAGATCTCATCGCTATCCTCGGGGAGATTCTCCAGCTCCTCGTAGCAGCGCTGTTGAACATCCTCGTGCAGGGCTAACAGGAGCAAAGTAAAGATGAGACAAGTGGAGGTGGTGTCGTAACCCTCGAACATGAAGGTGTTGACCTCATCACAGATACCCTGATGATCAATCTGACCCTCTGCTTCAGCAGCCAACAAGGTGTCCAACATGGCGTAGCGCTGCTTCTTGCCAAACTCATCCACTTCACCGCGTTGCTTTTGCTTAAACAGCTCTCGTTTCTTTTGGATAATCTTACTGGAGAAATCGTGAACTATCCGAAGCATTTGCGAATGCTTCCGATAATCGCCGTACAGGAAAAAGTACCAATTGTAATACATAAGGGGGTTGCACACTCGCTGTATCAAAACCTCTTCAATTGCATGAATGGCTTTTCTGTACTCATTGCCCTCCGACATGTCATCTAGCTTGACGCCCAGAGCGGTTTCTGTAATGACAAATACATTTTGTTTAGTTATTTGTGCAAAGAATATCGTAAAAGGTTTCTCACCGCATATATTGTTCAAGGTAAACTGAGGAATGACTTGATTAAGATCCAGCTCGCCATCCACGCTTTTGTCTAAAACTTTGATTAACTTGTTGCACTCTTCCCTAAAGAAAAATAGAGGCTTTAAACCTATTAAAGTATAAGAATACTCAGTCAAAACTCACTTAAAAATAGCCAAAAAAGACTGTAAAACATTAAAATGGAAAGCTGGGGTCAAAGCCTTTCTCCTAGAGTGCCACTTTTGGTCTACAAATAAACAAAAAAAAAGTAAATATTGTAAATATAGACCTCTGTTGTTTATTAAGTTGACTCACCCGTGCTAATCAGCAGGCCGTCTCCCAAAAACGGTCTTATCAGTTCGTAAACCACATTCTTTGTTATCAGCTTTGTGCTCTGAAAAATCTCCTCAGCCTCCTCGGCGCGAACCACATTGTACATGGGTGCAAAGAGGAAGTACCAAAGATAGTTCTCACCCTTGGCCTTGGCCGTGGACTCGCGTACAAAGTTAAAGACACTGGCTATTTAATTTAAATAAATTTAATAATTTAATTTAAAAAAATATACAAAGAATATCCTTACTTACCCGGCGTAAAGTTAAGAATATCCAAATTGTTACCAAATCTTGTTTTCCCTGGCATTACCACCACTTTGCTTTCCAAGGGACTGCCATCCTGCGTTCGCACTCGATAGGTTAATGAAAGTATAAAGTATTTTTCATTAATTTTCTTTAGCAGGAACCAAAGGGCCGCCAGTAGAAAGGGAGTCCCTAGCAAGGCAATCCACATTTTATGCAGGATTTTTTTTTATAATTATTACTCCTCCAGAAGAACCGTTCTAGAGCGGATTTCACAGCCCACTGAACTGTGTTGGGAATAGCTGGCGGATCATGTAGCCAAACCGTAATCATAATCAACATTGTATATAGTATTATTTACGGTTCCAAACAAATACTATATAGGAAAGCAGCAACAGCTTTTTGTTATCAGCAAGCTTTACGGCTGACTTAATTCTAATTGCGATACTATAAAATAATGTTTTGAATGTTTGCTGTGTTCTAAATATTACTTAGTCATCTATATATGATATCATTTAAGGGGCTTTACCCTTGTAGATTGGCGAGATATTAGATTCTTATCTGCAAGATTTGATTAAGCTGCTTACATGCTTTTTACACGCGATTATAAAAGGGTTAAGGGTGATTTAGACACGATTGCATATTAAATAAAATTAATTATATAACATTTTATAAAGTATATTCTTGATTTTTTATATAAATTCAAAAGATTCGAATATAACAATTAGTATAATTAATTTATTTTTGAATTTATTTAAAATTTCATGAGATTTCTTTCATTACTTTTAATGCGAATTAAATTAGCCAAGTAGGACTCAATTCAGCTCGAAGTTCATCTAAATTGTTTATAAAATGTAATGTAATGTCTAATGAACCCATAATAAGCAATGGTTAAACCATTAGTTGGATAATAACCTCTTCTCATCAAAAGATATAATAATAATAATAATAATTGATTGGAGCACTTAACAAATATCGAAATCCCAAGAGAGGCATTTGAAATACTCGAACCAGCCAGCCAGCCTTATTTACTATCATTTAATTTCCCCATATGACCATTCCAGATTAACAATAACAATTTCTTCGGCGGCATGACCGTACACAGATTTCCTCCCAGGCCAAACGGTGCGGCATATTTTCCCATCGTTCCAACTATGGAACTGGCTACGGGGAAATACAGAAAAAAAAAGGAAACTAGCAATGTCGCATCAAAATGCCGCATTGATTAAAGTTTGATTAGCTGTGCAGCTTGGCCAAGATCGCATTTGGGCTTGAAGAATTAATTTGAGCCAAGTTTGCAATGCGCGAGCAGAAATGGCAATGCCAGCAGCAGCAGTTGCAGTTGCAGTTGCAATAGAAGTAAATGTGGAAAAAAAAATTAAATCGTCGTAATTACATTTTCTGTGAAAAGGACCGGAGGAGCCGGAGAGAGAACGCGCAGACATGTTGCCCGACCAGTGCGTGGATGTGGATGTCGCCGGCAATGACAAAAATAGTCAATGCAGCAGCAGTAGCAGCAACAGCAGCAGCAACAGCAGCAGCAACAGCAGCAGCTACAGTTGCTGCAACATTCGCAGCAATCACAGACTGCATTTGGGCATGAAAAGTGCTGTGCCGGCAATTGGAAAAACTTGCCCTGGAAAGCATAGCCAGGCATGGCCTCTCTCTCTCTCTCTGTTTCTTGTTGTTATGAACAAATGTTATTGCAGCGGCAACATGCTGCATGTGGCAGCCACAACACAACACTCATTAAGATGCAAAAGACGTCGCTTGCCGCTTTTTAGAATTACTAATTGAATCGACGCGATCAGTGGCAATTGCAGCGGCATTGGCCGCTGGCATCAACGGCTTTAAGCCAACAACAATTGCTATTTCTGCGGTGGCGGCTCGAATGTTTGTTGTTTCAACCGCCGCTGAATGCTGCTGGTTGTGGCTGATGCTGCTGCTGCGGCTGCTGCTACTGTTGCAGCTTCCGCTGCGGTGTGAATATACAAACATACGATCTCGTATTTATTTATTTATGTACGTGCTTCTCGAGGCGGTTTTTGCGATTCTTTTAGGGCTCCCCGGCTTCCCTTTTAAAAGAAAAGCTGAATCTGAATCCGAGGCAAGGCAAAACTCCATCCGCAATCCTCAGCAGGGGAATTGCTAAAATAACACAGATGATTAACTTGGGAACGCAGGTCCCCAAGGCATCGTCACTAAGGTTACCTATAAGGAGTGGGTTATACCATTAAATTTAAGGAGGAAAATGAAAAGGAGATCATATACATATATCTTAATATATTCATTACAGTCACTAGAGTTACCTGTACGGTTGAAAGATTAAGGAGAACAGGAGATCATAATATCATTAATATCTTCAATATTCCATAAGTTTAACAACCTCTACTGATTTTCCCCTTTCAAAAATAACATTCACTTCTTCCTGCTGCATTCCTTGCTATGTTAAACATACATTTTCCATCATTTTCCTGCATTTTTATGTAGAAATATTTATGTTTTAAGTGGCCTGACCTTACCTGTTGAATTTCTGGCTAAGCACAAAGTCATGTAGCAACATGTTGCCTGGTCGCAGCAACATTATGTGTGTGTGGCAACATGATTTTTCAATTATTGCATCGCCATGTAAAATTTGTTGTAAGATCTTGCATATTTGCCTTAACACCTCGTCCTCCGTCTTGTTGGGGTCTGTTTTTTTTTTTGTAATTTTTTGTTAAAACATTGCTGTGGTTTTTGCCGTGCGTCGCTGACAGGCAATGGTGGCGGCAACAAGAACCGGCGACGCTTGTTAGCCATGTTGCCCGGCCTGGCTGACACTTGTTGCACGGCATTCTGCCTCAGCAACCTTTTGTGGTCGCAATGCCCCAAAGATCTCTTGGGGTTTTTTTTTGTGGCTGTTGCATGTTGGTGTCGTTGCTGCAGTGCTTCTTTTGGTGTCGCTTCTGTGTCGTTGGCGTGTGTCTCTCGCTCCACTAAACTTTTAATTAAAATTTCGTCGTATCACAGTCGCTGCTTCCTTTTGTGGCTTGTTAATGTCAAACCCAAAGGAGCAGCTTGCAGGGTTTACTTACCACTGATTTTTATGCAAATTTTGCAGTGTCTCGTCGCCAGTCTCGTTTTTCGGGCAACTTGAGAGGCTTCCAGGGAGGACGGAGGTCTCGCTCTGGGTTCATTTTGGAGCGGTTCGGATCGGGTTCCCATGCCGAGAGCCTCGTTTGTCATTAAGTTGTCATGACCATAATAATCTTTCTAGATTGCCAGAGACCAACTTTGGCATCTTCTCTTAATATAGTATTGGCCTGTAAAAAGCTATCCGTCAATAAGGCAATTGGCATTTTCCATTTGAAGACAGATTGCTTTGATATCTACAAGTAAATTGATTATAAAATGTTTAATTAAATGAACAAATATTTCTTTCTCACATGGAAAAATTATATTCCCAACAAGGCTATAAGTTTGATTTCACAAAAGTGTCATAAAGGAAGCAATTTATTGGCCAACTTAATACTCCCATATGTATGCAGTTTTTAATTAATTTTTTGAATAGTTTTGCTTATTAATTTAGGCTGACTTCCGTCACCTGTTTTTGATTTGCTTAAAAATACAATATTTTTGGTAAGAATCATTTGTGTGAGACGCTTGCTAAAGACATATGGCTGACATGGATAGAGATTGGAATATTCTGTTTCTGTTAACTAAAAAGATCCTTAAAACCTCATCAATCTACCATTATTTTCCCTCCAACAAGCCAAACCTACATTGATAAGAAAATTGTACCAGTCCCAGGCCTAGTTAATTTTTTTATGGCGTGGGACAGGTACATGGAGATATATGGACTCCCGTTTTGGATGTTGCATGGGATCCAGTGTGGCAATTGGCCAAGATTTATTGACATAATGAAGACTAATTCGCGCGTCTGTGGCCGAGCATTTTGACAATTATTTATGTTGTATTAAGTTGTTTGGCGGCAGCGCGTGTAACGATGTAATTAATTGCCATGGATTAGACACTGCCAATGGCTGTTGTATAGTAGAGGAGAGACCTGGTCACGCAGATGCGGAGGCACAAAACCGGGGCACCTCGAGCCAAGATTCAGTTTCAGTTTAAGTCAGTGTTTGAGCTTACCGAGTTACCAGGAAAGCCGCTTAGGCCCATAAACAACCAGGTTTATGCGCAGCCATCTGTGACGATCCGAATTGGAATTGGAAGAGGCACTTCAATTGGTCATTCAATTTTTGATGCGATTTTAAAGCGATTTAAATATGAATATGATGAAAATTTTTGACTGTGATCAATTTATACTCTTCAGAGGTGTAGGTTTTATGGTGCTATATGCTTTGTGGCGAATTTGGGGATATATATACAAGTAATATTTATAATTTTCCCCAGCAACAATGTCTTCCATGGCGCCTAAACCTTAACTTATCAGGCAAAAGCTATAATTAATTTACAACTTTCTATGTAACTACTGATAAGTTCGGTCTTATATCAAACCTGCTATCAGCTACCTTTAAATTCCCTCTTTTTCATATCCAAAAATAGTTTTAACTGCTAGAAAATTTAATCTCAAACACTTCCCTAGATTCTCAGTTCAAAAAGCAATTTTTTTTTGTATTTTACATTGAACTATATGTCGTTCATCATCCTTCACTTAAAAAAAAACCTCTCAAAAATCCAAATATATATTCCCCATTTATTTTATGTCCCACCGCCTCGCAACTTTGCGTATTACTTCCAATTTAAATTTAATTAAATTTTAGCTGCCTGAACTAATTAAAAAACAAATTTCAGTTTTTACAACCGCCTCGAATGGCTCTCGACTCTCTTGCCCATAAAGTGTACACAGACTTCGGTTGGGATTCATTTGGCAAATTGAATTTGCTTTCACGGGGTATGGGGGTTTAATTTTTATATTTTTTTTCGGCTATATATTCCATTTGGTTTCGGGCATTTGATTTTTTTTATAGAGCAGCTACCATTATGATGTTTATGGGTCTAAGCTCATCAAAGTTTAAGCAGGCACTTTATAGGCAACTTGTATATTATTTTCCACCTATTGTTTGTCCGGATTTTAGAGGCATAGACAATGCCGAGTGTTGACAGCCAGCAACTGGGTCTCTTAACCCATTATTTAGAAATGTGAACAGACTATTTCCATTTCATAATTTCATGTGTTATATTAAATAAATATTTAGCGTTTTTCAAAAACTTATTCATGTTCATTGAAGCTTTTAGGACTTAGAAGGGTACAAATAGAAGATAAGAAT